GTCCTCCCCTGCCTGGCCTGGCAGGGCCCCGCCCAGCTCCACCTCCCGGCCCAGGCCCAGTGGGGAGGGCCTACCACTCCACAGCCTTCTCCAGAATCTGGGGTTGACTGGTTGGGCCCACATCCTTTCTCCAAACACTAATCTTTCAGGGAAAGAAGCAACAGAAGCAAAGGAGGAGCTGTCCTTGGAGACCACGCTATCCACCACACTATCCTCTCTACTTCCTCCTTAAACATCAGTCAGATCATTGCTGGTGTGGGGAGCACAGTGACATTCTCTACGTCAAGATCCAGGCCAGTGACATCAGGCCCTGGAGAAACGGAATCTAACTCCCACCTCACTCAGCAGCAGACGTCTCCAGGCCGTAGGCGGCACCCCGACCCCAGGTGTGCGTGGCGGCAACAGAGGCACCAACCAGGCTGGGAGGGCAGAAGCCCAGGTTCCACGCCAGCTCTGCCATGGGCAAGACTCCTGCTCCCAGGGGGTCTCCAGTTTCCTGTTGTGGAATTTAGGGGCTGAGCAAGGATCACCAGTGGTCCAGCTCTTTCCTGGAGACGCACTTGAACATGGCAAAGCATGAACATGGAGTCACTGTATGGGAGGTGGGCGGCCTTGCCCACCTGGCCTTCCCTGGTCCTCATGGGGAGCCTGAGGCCCCTCAGGGGACACAGTGGGCCCTGCAACATAGTGTGGATGAAGAGCAGTGAGATCTTCCTTCGTCGGCCATCCTACAACCACAAAGTCTCACCTCAGTGTTCGTGGAGCGAGGCCAGCGGAAGCGGTCTGTCTGTCTCTGAAAGGGAAGGGAGGCCGGGCAGCGACAGGCTCCGGTCTGGGCGGGCAGAGGTGCTGGCTAGTTTAAAAATGTATCTTAGAGACACTAATTGTGAGAGTCCTCGGTTTTCCCCTTAGGTTTCCAACCACTGTGAAGAAATCAGGGAAAAGTGCCTCAGACATGCCTCACACTCCTCCTCGGTGGGCGGGAGGGAAGGCTGCGGCGGCAGCAGCAGCAGCAGCAGCACCGGAGTGAGAGTTAACGTCAGATAAGAGAAGTGACTGCACCGGGCTGCCTGTCGGGTGCTGGGAACACCGTGAGAAAATGGGGGCTCCTTCCGGGCAGACTGTTAGAGCACAGAGACCTGGGCTTAGCACGAGAGTTCAACTTCTCTCCCTCCTTCTAATATTTTTTTGACAATTATTACTCTATATTCTTGAGGCTGGATTGGTATCACAGAGATGAGAGAGAAAAAGCAATTAAGTAACTTGCCCAAGGTCTTGAGGTAATTGAGAGGCGTGAGAGGAAATCTTCAGTCCTATTAAAAGGTACCCACGTCTCCAGGGGCCTCATCGAAGGAGAGGTGCCAAAAAGAACAAAGGGACGAAAAAACTCAACCACTTTGTTTTCTTAAAGCTGGGACCAGAGACTTCTGATTGGCGAGAGCTGGGTTTGCTGTAATTCAAAAGGCCAAAGGCTGGAAGAGGCAGGCTGAGCTCCACGATTCGGAAGGAGGGAGTCTCCCGGCCCCGCCCTCTCATGTCCTGGACACTCCCGGCCTTGCTCTCTCACACCCTGGACACTCCCATGCACCACCGATCAAAGCTGGGGCTCCTGGAAGTGACATTTTGGGAAGGATAGGGCAGGGGCAGGTGAGCCGCTAGGAAAGGTTCTGTTCACCGCTGTTCTCCCCGTCTGCGCCCCAACTCCGGGTCCTGGGCAGGGAGGAGGCGTGAGTGAAGCCCCAGACAGGACGAGGGCCCCTGCAGACCCCTGCAGTCCAACCCCAGCAAGCCCCGTCCCACTCTCCTCTGCACAGACCAGGAACGGTGGCCCGGCAGCTCCAAGGAGAAAGGGCCTGGGATGGCAGCCTCTCCAGGGTCCGTCTGTGCTCACTGAAGGGCATCCTCAGGTTTCCCATGGCCTTGAAGGGGTCAGGGAGGGGCCGTGAGAAGACTAGTGCCCCAGGGAGAGCAGGACACAGAAGAAAGAGGCTCAGCGTGACCTCACAGACACAGGGAGCAGATGGCACAGGCGGGGCGGGCTCTGGGGGCAGCTAACTGGGGAGGGCCACAACTCCAGAGTGAGCCTGACAGTGCCAGGGGCCGGCAGCTTCCTGCTGCAGCCCAGCTCCCTGGCGCCCGCCCACACCCTGCTTTCTAGAATTTTGATACAATCCTGATTTGACGGAACTGACCAGGAAGTGACTGTTAATACCTTCATTACCAGGTGGAGACAAATGAAATATCATAATAACAATGCCACATGTTGACACACCGGCACCCGTTGTGAGACTATGAGACGCCATTCCTGCACGAGGCACAGAGACAAGACTGCTCCTGACACCGCCCAGAGCCCCGCGTGTCTGGCCCAGGTGGAGCCTGCCCACCTCTGCCTGCAGCCCTGGGGGGCAGCCGGCAGGGCAGGGGGTGGGCTGCACAGTCCCTCCCCCTCCTCCCTCCATTCCCACTGCTGAGTGGCCAAGAGGAAGCTACCTTCCATTTCACGGCTGGCCTGCCCACTCACCCTGTCTATGATCCTCTCCCTCCCAGGTGCTTCAGCCCCAGCTCTGTGCACCCTGCCTGTCACAGACCCCATGAGAGCTGCATGGAAAGAAGGGTTGAATCGAAGGGGAAGGTCCACCTTCCCTTGATTGATTTCGTCCAGGCCAAATGCTGTTAATTTAATCATTTCCATAATGACCCCAGGGACTCATCAATGGCTGCTCTGCCCATGACATGTCCCTACCCTCCCAGGGAAACTCCGATCAAATCCATATGAAAAAGCTAGGCAGTACACCCTGGTAGGGGATTATACTCTCCTGCATCATGTACGATACTATTGGATGTGTCATGAATTAACTGCAGCCATTCAGTCTTGTCCACAGGCAGTTTCTGCTCCCCCTCATGCTTACAGAAAACCTTGGCTGTCTGTGACAGCCCGGAAATGGAGTCTTTAAGCCAGGAGGGCAGCCTCGGAGCCTCACGGAGAGAACTCCACCAAGTTCGATCGGTGAGTCATGCTGGCGGGCTCGTCGTCTCGGGCTTCTTGGGGGTGCTTCCCAGACACCTGCCAGAGGGCACTGGAGACCGAGTGTGGAGCTCCGGGGCTCTGCCAGAGGCAGGCGCCGTCCAGAAGGCAATCTGGTGCCCCGGGAGCCAGCGGAATGAGAAATCACCGTACACTGAAGGACTGACGAGGGGATACAGCGTGGGTTACTTGGTCTGGAGCGGTGTTGTTACCATTTTTGTCGTTCTCATTCCTGACAGGTGCACGGGGACATCGTTTCTCTTTCTTCCTGATGCAGCTCTAGCAACAAACATTCTGGAATGAACACCTTCCATCGGGGCTCCTGTGCCACCCAAGCTCTCAGAACACAGGGGCTGCAGCTGGCTGAGTCTCTACTTCTAATGGCAATGTGGTCACTCACACCGGTCATCTCACACTCAGTAAAAATTTGTTCCAATGTTTACCACACTGAATAGACGGGCAGTCAAGGCCATGCCTGGAGTGTCACATTTGAGAGTGACTCTCACTCAGGTAGGACAAGGCCACCATTAAGAAGCAAGAGCTGCGCTGCCTTCAGAGAACCACAGCGCCCTCCCAGAAAACTGGTCTGTCCCCTCGTCATGATGAGTCCGGCAACCTTAGCGGAGCCGGTGCCCTTGAGGGGTGATGCATGCACCCCACTGACAGGTGCCACGGGCAGGGTGGCGGGGTGGGTTCCTTGGTGTGGTGTCCGTGCCTCAGAATACAAGAGTAGACATAAGCAGCAAACAATACACCTCGAATAATAGAGGCCGTTGAATCTTCCTAAGAAAATCCTCAACAGTTCTCCAGGCGGAAGGTGATTGTCCAAACCTGCATTTGCTCACCCCACAGGGCTTTCTGTCCATGCTCCGATGAGGGTCGTGTGTACTAATCAGCACTCCTTACTGCAGTTACATGAATGAATCAGCCCACCACACAATGCGATAAGCTTTTTGGTAATCAAGAGTGAGCACTCTGTGGGGATTACTTGTGATCACAGCGCCTTGTGGTTTACAGTGTCCCTCCACATTCTGAGTTAAAGCTCCCGGAGGGCCCTTCCAAGTCCCCACCAGGAGCAGATGTGGACTTGAGCATCACCCATGCGCCCTGGAAAGGACGATGTGACAATATGACTGAACAAGAGGTGAATGGATTACACTCACACCCTGTTCATCCTCCTCCACTACAAACAGAAGACACTTTAGGAGACGAGTGCATGCGTGTGCACACACACACGCACACACACACAGGGGCATGTAGTGTTTTCCGTGGACTAGCCAGCTACCACTGAGAAAGCCCAGGCCCACAGAGGGCAACTTCTATCTTGGCTCTCACTAAGGAAGCCTCAAGAAGGAGCCGAGACCAGTGGGACGACACCACTCTCCGCCCACCACAGAAACACCCGCAGAAGCCCAATCTCCCCATCCCGCCCAGCCGGGGAGAGGAGCCGCCGCCCCCCGGGAGGGTGCCCTCCTTTCCTGTGTCCCCTGGCCCTGGGCCGCCTTCCAAGTGGAATACATTAACACAGAAACGCTGGGGCGGGGTGGGGGGAGGGTTGTAATCCGCACCTTCATGACATCTCTGCAGTCCCTGTTCTGAAGTTTGGCCTTGAGAAGTTCAAAGGACTTAGATACCAGAGCTCAAGGAAGACCAGGACGTACCCCAGGGCAGGCCCTAGTCTCAGATGCTGAAAAGCCTGCCCTTCCTACACTGCAGCCAATTTAACCTCTCAGAGAATCGACTGCTTAGTGCTTGAACTTATCTTGGACTAACAGAATTAATTGCAAAGATTCTCCACTTTTCTTATCAACGGAAGCTGAAGGCAGTTCAGCTGAAGGGTCCCTAAACGAGCCCCCCTGGGTGACGACAACTTTGACTGATGCCACGTTGCTGACATCCGGGCAGAGCCCGGCCAGGCCGGCCCTCCCTGACCGCTCGGCCCTGCTTCAGGGGTTCCCCTGCAATGCCCACTCACCGTTCTTCTCGGCCTTGTGTTTCAGTGGCTCAGGCTCCGGGAGACACGGGCAGGGCCCATCGCAGAGGGTGGTGAGGCTCTTGCCGGTAGAACAGGCGTGGAACTCCATCTTGCACTGCAAAGGAGAGACAGGACAGGCCTGAGGGATGCCGCCGTGCGGACCCCTGCCCGGCTCCCGGAGGGGACAGCCCGCGCCTCTCTGACCACAGACAGGTGCGCGGGGCACGGCAGCCATGATGGAGAACAGAGGAGTCTGTCTCAGTTACAGACCTGAATGACGGCCCCTGAATGAGAAACGTCTCTCCAGATGCACAGTGTAACATCCAAAAACACTGCAGAAGCACTGGGAGGCTGACTGGAATAAAGGGCAAACTCAACTCTAACTGTTAACAAAGGTATTAGTCTGAAACAACATCTCGGAATCCCACAGGCTCCGCCAAGACCAGCCCCCCACCGACCACAGAGGCTGCTTCTCCTCCTTTCCTTGTCCTGCGAGGGAAGCTCCGCCCACAGAGTCCCTGGTCCCTCGGCTGTCCCACCCTTTTCCTGGGGAACAAGAGGAGTCGACACTTTCGTTCCTACCACCCAAAACCTAAGTGTACACAGCCTCTCCCTGCGGAGGTCGCCTGCGGTTGCCTAACTAGCCTGTGACTGGTGCAAACATCCCCGGATCCTCAGATTCATGATCGAAGCCCAAGGCAATGCATACACTCACCAACCCTTTCCCAGTAACAGTTTCTCTAGTGTTTTGGCCACTTTCAGCCAGCTCTTCACTCCTGAGTCTCAACTGTTCAGAACACAAGCAGGAAAGAAGGGTGTTATTCCCAAGGGGAAAAGACCACAACAATTAACAGTCTTTTTATTATTCTCACATTGTGGAGTAACAAAGTGAAGCTCAGAGAGGTTAAGCAAGGGAAGGTCAGGACACTCGAATGGCCGGAGCCAGGGTTCACGGCCCCATGGGCTGAGCATCTCTGGGACTCACATGGCGGTTTCTGCCATGTGGACGGGCTCTGAAGCCAGCACTGCGCTCTGGGGCTGCTGGCCTGGATCCTCTGAGCTGTCTGCGAGTCCCCCCTCCATTACTGTGGCGGTCCCAGGACTGAAGTTTCATCAGTCTTCTGCCGAGGCCCAGGGCGTCAGGACCGTGTTTGTGGCTGGTGGGGGTTCAAAGGCAGAGCAGATAGCAAATTCACCCTCTGCGCCTGCCGCTCTTATCAGGTGCCACAGGGAATCTCTCAAAAGAAAGAAAAAGGAGATACAGCCACTGCCCTTGGAAAGCGCTAGTGTGTATCTTTGGAAAATGCCGGCAGCATTTGCAAAGCGGCACGCAGGGGTGTGGGTGAAGCTGGCTCATTATGGGAGGACCAGCTACTCAGGCCCCATGCCAGTTTCAAAGCGAGCAGCAAGTGCTCTCCACCTGGCGCTGCGTGCCCTGGAGTCACTCTCGGGCAACTCCACGGCCACCCACACGGCCCCTGCCGACCCCTGCCGGGAGAGGGCGGCAGACAGGCCTGCAGGTGCTGCCAGCTTCCTCTTCATGCAAAACTGCCTTCTGTGCCGATCTGTGAGGTGTCTGCTGTGTGCCCACTGTGGCAACAGGAGGTGTGGGGCTGCAGGAAGGGAAGCCACGGCCTGGGCCTCCCACACCAACAACTTAATGAGGAAGGAAAACACCGTTCTTCTGAAGCCCCGAGGATGTGGCCTTGAGGCAAGGCAGACGTCTGTCTATGCAGGGATGCAGCAGGAAGGCGACCCGCAGGTGTGGGCACGCACACAGGCCGTCCGGGTGCACAGAGGATGAACCGAGGGGAATGCTGGGAGGCAGCTGGCGAGCCACCACCGTAAGCTCCATCACAGGCAGCGCAGCACACGCCCAGGCGCCCTGGGCCGGGTGAAGCTGCCGTGCCCACCCCACCGCCTCCTTTCCCGGGCTGGCTCTCTGGAATAACCCTCCATTTCAGACTGGCAGTCCTCCCACTATTTTGTCAATGGCATCTGTAAGCGAATTTAGGAGAAACTATTTTTTTTATGAAAGTGTATTTTATATAGTCAAATTTATTGTTTACTTACCATAAAGCCTTATCCCACTGTTACTGTAACTGCCTGTTTCTCTCAGTGACAGACTGTAAGACTGTCCCCCAGTGTTCTCCGGCCTCCCTGAAAGAGGGACCTCCACTTGGCTCCCTGCCCCGTGGGAAACGGGACTGCCCCTCCCCAGGGACACCCGTCCTGGCCAGTGGATCGTGAATGGGGTGACATGAGCCAGGCATGAGCAGCTGTTTTAACACCCACTGCTTGGTTTCACCGCCTCCCTTGCTCTTCTCTCTACGGTGAAAATGGCATGTGCCAGAATACGGCTGTTTCTGCCCGGGGCCCAGAAGGCATGGACTGAGCCGACACCGACCCACAGCTAAGGAGCAGCACACACAAGGACTTAATGCATGCCCTTGCGACCCACTCGTGTTTGTGGATCATTTGTTACCACAGTGTAACTTAGCTAAAGCTGATAAAACAGCGGACTTCCCAGCAGACCATGAAGTACTTCACACCTGGAGAAGGTCTTAGTCACTGCCTCGCCCCTGGCACGACAGTTCAGGAGCCGGGGCCCCGGCACAGGGTGGGTGTTCAGGAGGCACCACTGAGCCGTCGAGGCAGAACGAGAGGCGGCACCGTTCATTCCGCGGCTCTAACCCCTGCTCTGGCTGCCCGGAGCTGCCAACCCGGCGGCACAGAGCATGCAGGCGCTGGCGCTCAGCACTCGAGGCCCCGGCCACTCGCTCCGAGCCTCGCGTTCAGCGCTCTGCCGCTCAGGGCCCTGCTCACCCCAGTCTGGCCCTGGGGGCAGGGCCTAGTCCATCCACTTCCTCGATGCCCACAGCACCTGGGGGGCCGCACTGAGGGCCCCTGAGGACGGTCACTGCCGTAACTCGGCGTCCTCGGCTGGCCCCCGTGCCCCCTCTTCTGCACAGCTGCTATCACAGCTGGGTCTCCTCGCCGACCCATGAAGGTGCCGCCAGAGAAGATTGATCCGCACCAGTGAAAGCCCATGTTTCAAGGGCACAGATCTGCTTCTTGTCTTCTAGGACAATGTGTGGCATTTAAATGAGGCTCAAATGGCTGCCCTTCCACTTGTATCAAACTGAAAACATGCTAGGTAGAGGTACATATGTATGTAGTAAAAGCTACTTTAAAGGGGCGAGTGGTGACCAGTACCTTTAAGACAGGGGTTCCCTACAGAAAGGAGGCGGGAGGGTAGCCTTGGCCCACGGGACCACCGTGACATGGGGTATGGGGTGTGTCACGGGTGGGGTGTTGGAGTCCAAGGCTTTGTTTTGTTACGAGGCTCGGCAACTGATATAAATAATACATACATGTGGCCCTGGCCAGGTGGCTCATTTGGTTGGAGCATCATCTCATACACCAAAATGTTGTGGGTTCAATCCCCGGTCAGGGTGCATGTAGGAGGCAACTGATCAATGTTTCTCTCTCCTCCTCCCTCCCTCCCATCCCCAAATCAATAAACAGATCTTTGAGTGAGGATAAAAAGAATAATGCATGTATGTGTATGTACGAAATACTTTATGATAGAACATAAAAATGGTTTATAGGCTTCTCTCAAAGTGAGGTCCAAGCCACACCCACACCTCAGGGACACTGGTTAGGAGTGAGCGAGCGCCCGTGTGGACCCCTGGGGGCAGGGCCGAGGGCGCACAGCTCCCTGCCCCCGACTGTCGCTAGGCAGGGGCGCCGTGAGCTCCAGCCACTGACATCATTTGCATGTTCTCTCCCCACAGCATGCCCCTCAGCCCCGCCTGTGACTCACCCACCCACCGTCTTGCCCTATCCTCTCTCCCCCAGGGTCTTGCTGGGAAAGGACAGGTAAGAAGCCAAGAGGGGCTCACTGCCCCAGCTTTGCCCCGAGGGGCCAGAGGACTCTCAAAGCACAGGGCTTCTTGCTGGACAGGGCTGCACAGAGTGGTGGGACCTTCACCTTCACACCATGTGGGCACCTCGCACCAGGCAGCACCCTCTCCCCACCCACAGGGGACAGAGGGCCAGGACAGCCCTGGCCACCTACTCAAGAATCTTACCCACTTACACGAGGCTGGGCTTTGCCTCGTGTGCCCTGGCTGTGCCCACACAAGATCCTGACCACGTGGGGCAGGCAGGCTGCCCCTCAAGTCCAGGGCTGCCCAGGAAACGGGAGCCAAGAGGAGACGAGGTGCCCAAGCGACCCTTCCAGGGGCCGCGGTTCTGCTCCTGCTGTGAACGGGCACCTGACGGGGGCGGGGGGGTGGGGGGCTGTCTCCCACAGGAGGACGTGTGCAGCCTCCCTCGGGAAGAGGCGGCGGGGAGCAGACAGCGAGAAAGTGAAAGGATTCCCCCAGCACAGCGGTCTCCAACATTTTTGGCACCGGGACCGGTTTTGTGGGAGGCAATTTTTCCAGGGACCGGGGTGGGTGGGGAGGATGGTTTCAGAATGACTCAGGTGCTTTACATTCAACCTCACCTCCTGCTGTGCAGCCCCGTTCCCACCGGCCACCAACAGGTCTAAGGCCTGGAGGTGGGGACCCCTGCCCTAGAGGGACGTGGGGATGAAGAAGTAAGTGATCCCTCCAACACCACGGGGCCATCACTGAACCCTTCCCCGTTGGGCACCCAACGACAGGGTTCGGAGTCTCCCCACAGTGGGCAGGAGTGAAAAATGGCGAACGACAGATGGTGCTTCCTCCACAGGGGTGCTCCACAGCACTCGTCCACCACCCCGCCTGCCCCGCAGGCCCCACAGGCCCGAGGACTGAGCAGCCAGGGGCGCCCTTCGCAGACCCGCATCAGGGCAGCGTCTGCAGAGCTCCGGGCAAAGACCGCGGGCTGCCCCTGGCACTCACAGTCTGCAGCCTGGAGGTGGAAAAGCAAAAAAGAAGTGACGAAATGACATTCTTGGGAACTAATGAGGGGCACCCCTAAGTCCTCACAGTAGGGGAAAACAAGCCTTGGAGGATGTGAAGAAAGAGGAGGAAACGGTACAAACGTATTTCTTGTGGATTTGGAGTGGAGAGCCAGCCGACTTTGTGAAGCAGCCGGAGCTGGAGGCACACCCAGGGGTGCCTG